CTCTTCAAAAGACAAAAAATTGTTCAAAATTTGATAAAATAATCACCTAAAACCAGAATGTATGTAATCTCCCATTAATCTACACTAACTGCTTCTGAAGGAGAAAGAGAACTTACAAAAGAAAAAACAAGGTTTGTTATAGTCAAATAAGATATTTTCTCATATAATCAAGCATTATTATGATTTCAGGAAAGCAATATATATGTTATTTTTTGATAGAAAATTAGCTCTTGTCCAAAAGAAGATTCTAGCAAGTTTCAACAAAATCAGTCAGTTGAAGCAAAATAAGCTCTTGTGTTCTACTTGTAAAGTTAATAAATACGTTATTACGAATAGTAGGGTACCTACTGTATTTTATATTATCTCTTGTATGTGTATATAGTTTCTATTGTGCAAATATATATTAATAGTATGTAAGTTTTTGTGTGATAATTTTAAAATGTTTTATGCTCCTATATAGGCAGTCAAATGTAACTGAACATTTTTTCTCTGAAAATGTGTATGATGTATCTCACGAATAAAATGTATTTTTTCTGTATTTATCTAAATAAATAATAAATAAATTTCATGGGAATTTGGTAGCATTAATGTTTATTTCGTTTTTTGTTTTGTTTTATAAATAGCTTCTACACATATGTTTTGATTACATTGATTAATAATTTTATTATAAAATATGTACATTTATTATTTTTATTACTATTATAAATAAATTATTGTTATAATTTACTTCAATTTTCTCATTTAATCGAAAAATCTTATTTTTAATCTTGTATGCTTATATAATAATGTGTAAATTATTAATTGTTTCAGATTGTTTCGACAAAATAGTTAGATCTATTAACAAATTATTATAAATATAATAGTTTTAATTACCTATGAAGAGTACGGATACTCTTTTTACTACGTTTTCCACGATAAAAACACGTCTTCATAGGAGGCGATCCTCTCAAATGGGCTACCAACGTTGTATTGCTCCATGGGAGTCTTCCTTTTTCGTTGAGGTCCATTACTCATAGAACAGTTGGTACATTTCTTACACCAGTCCTTTACATCATCGGAACTGTTCATCCAGTAAAACCTTTCCCGAACTCTCTGAAGGGTTTTCCTAACATCGAAATGTCCTCCCGATGGACTGTCGTGTAACTGACGGAGTACTTCAGCTACTCTACTTCTTGGAATGACCAACTGTCTTCTGCTCTCGGAACCGTCATCATTTTCCAGTACTCGCTTTAATAAGCCATCTTCCAGGATAAAGGAGTTCCACTGAGCCAAATACGACTTAAGTACTGGAGAGAGATTAGATACTTCTTGCCAAGTAGGTCGACGATTTTCCTCTTTCCATTGTCGCATCTTCTTCAAAACGGTATCGTTCTCTTGTTCTTCCCTAATTTTAGCAGGGGCCCACTCATCGTTGACTACCGTTGTTTTTAGTAGTCCACTTTCTTTGGATTCCGCTTTGTTGCAGTGGGAGCACTCTGCTGGACACGGTCTTCTAGAAAGAGAATCGGCATTTCTGTGGCTAATTCCGGCTCTATGTTCAATCTTAAAGTCGTACTCCTGAAGTCGCTCAATCCATCTGGCGATTTGACCCTCCGGATTTTTGAACTGCATCAACCACTTAAGAGCAGCATGATCGGTACGGATTAAGAATTTTCTTCCATATAGGTATTGGTAGAAGTGTTCTACACATTTCACAACTGCCAGGAGTTCTCTTCTCGTCACGCAGTAATTCCGCTCAGGTTTCAAGAGCACTTTACTAAAATAACCTAGTACTCTTTCTTTCCCTTCCTGAATCTGTAAAAGCACTCCTCCAATTCCCACATTACTAGCATCAGTATCCAGGATAAATTCTCCCTCTGGTAGTGGATAGCCTAGTATTGGTGCTGTTGTTAAATGGTTCTTCAATGTTTCAAAGGCAGTTTGGCAGTCCTCGTCCCAGCAGAATTCCCTCGCTTCTTCTGTGAGTCGCGTTAATGGTTTAGCAACATATGCAAACTTCTTTATGAATCTTTGGTAGTACGTACAAAGCCCAAGAAAACTTCTTACTTGGCGTTTGCCCTTTGGTAGTGGCCACTCTTTGATAGAAGTGACTTTTTCCTTATCTACAGCCACGCCATCCTTACTGACTACATGACCCAGGTAATTGACTTTATTTTGAAATAGCTGGCATTTCTTGGGGTTTAGCATCAAGCTGTCTTTTAAAAACATCTTCTAAGTTCTTAAGATGTTCATCAAATTCTTCCCCAAGACTATAATGTCATCTAAATATACCAGGCACGTTTTCCAAGATAACCCTCTCAGTATATTTTCCATAAGTCTTTCAAATGTCGCGGGGGCATTACATAGTCCAAATGGCATGACATTAAATTGCCACAATCCAGATCCGGTGGTAAAAGCTGTCTTTTCTTTATCTACTGGGTCCATTTCGACCTGCCAATATCCATACTTTAGGTCAAAGGTAGAAAATAATTTACTTTCGGCCAATGTGTCCAAGGTATCGTCGATTCGAGGAAGAGGATAACTCTCTTTCTTGGTTACATTGTTCAACTGACGGTTATCCACACAGAACCTCGTAGTTCCATCCTTTTTCTGGACCAGGATGACCGGAGAGACCCATGGGCTGGTAGAAGGTTCTATCACCCTGTCTTCCTTCATTTTTTGAGCTTCCTCTCTCTTGGCCTTTGGTAATCTTCGAGCTGATTGACGAATCGGCCTGGCGTCATCAGTGTCAATTTTATGTTTTACAACAGAAGTTCTCCCTGTTTTTCGTCCTTTTGTTGACACAATTAAATGACAAATGTGATGACAAATAGAAATAGAGGTTATGTTAAATTACATCCAGTCCGCCATATTATTTGCCTAAATCGGCCAAAATTTTTCTGACCGTTTTTTAGGGGGCTATAGCCTATCCAGTAAAATAATACAAATCAGTGGTGTTTCTCCATAAACATGGTTTTTTCTCCTCATATACTTCTAGCAGAGCAACTTAAAATTAAATTTTTTTCAGATAGTGGTTTACATCCTTATTGTTGTTTTTCAGGTTATTTGCTAAAAAAGATTTTAATTTGCCGGTTAAAAACAGCAGGTATTAAAGGACTTGCCCCATATGCTAAAGAGCTGTTTTAAAGGGCTTTTTAACCCTTTATTATACCTATTTAACCTAATTGCTGTTCTTCATTTTACTAATAAATACACTTAATAACTCCTATAACGGAAGTTAAAACGAATTTATAGCTATTGCTACAAAGTAGTATATGATTATGCTGAAAATTATACTTATATAGTTACCACAACAGCATGGTTTTGTAATAAATCAGTAATTACTAATTTGGTTATATTTACCAATAAAGTATATAATAGATTAGAAGCAAAAACGTCAATACTATTGCATTATCTAACAAGTTGTTAAATCTGATAATAAATTATTTTGAAAATAAATTATTTATTGTAAAACATAACGGCAATATGTCAGGTTTTTATTTCAGCTAATTCTGGTGTTCCACTAACGTTTGTACACTTTATAAAATAATTTGCCTTTGGTTTTAAAATACTCAAACTGTTTACTGTTTGTAAATGATATTAAAATACGAGTTATATTTAATTTAATATACTAACAATAAATATAAAGAACAGAATTATTTTGTTTGGCCAAAAATTCTTGTACAGAAATTATGCCTAACGGCTTGTTTTAATAGGAAAATAAAACAATAATAAAATAAATATCAGTAAGATTAGAGTCTAAACAGAAAACATTGCTATTTTCGTATAATTGGATATGGGTTTTTTTAAAGAAATTACAACACTAGTCTCAGAACACTATCCTGCGGTACCCCAGTAGAAATATCTTTTATATCTAAATAAATATTTTCCTGCCTTTTCGAAATGTCATGTTTGAAATATGTCTATCAGAAATAAAATAGCTTTTTAGTCCGTACTAGCATAGTTTAATTTGAGTTATACCCTTCTAAGGTCAAAGTCTCTCTAAATGACATGCATGCAAAGAAATAGCGAATACAAACCACAAAAATATTTCATAACTTTTCGTCTGACTTCGTATTAATACAATAAGACGATCATAAATTGATCTCAGCTTGTGTATCCAGTCAGAGCGTGATTAAAAAAGCATTCAACAAATCTACATCAAATCATAAAAATAACAATAAAATGTTTACGGCGACGGGTGCTTCCAGTGGTGTGGACAATAAAAATGAAAAATAAGCAGAAAGGGGTACTGAACTATCAAATGTAGAGCTTCTATAATATTATTAGAAAAAAGTGAGACTCTGCCAAACATAGACACATGCATAGCCAAATTATCTCTACAGATCCTGTTTGGCCATAAATGTTATTTTTTTATTGTAAGTTATAACATACCTGTTAGTTTTGATATGTGAAATTAAAATGCAATTCTTTTGGTTTCAGAGGGTCGACAGTTCCTATTTGGCTATTAATTTTATTTTCAAGGAGTCAATACTAAGTACATGTCAAAAACTACACATTTCTTTAAAGATGTTTACGTATAAATAATATAGAAATACTCAGTCAATTGAATTTTTTTTAATTCCCTTTAATAAAAAAAATGGGGTCACCTATGACTCTATGATTATAGATTTTCTTCAAAATTTTATATGTGCAGAAAACTGTATAAAAGTGTGGTTAAGTAAATTGTCTCGTCAGTAAAATTAAATTTGTGAAATATTTTTTACGTATTCATTTGGTTGATCATAGGGCCTTTGAAATATAATTTATTAGCAGGTGAATTGCCTTATTAAAAACATTCTGTTACGTCTCTGCCTAGTCATTATTCCATTATATATACTGAACAATAAAATCAGTTTCCTGTATCAAGAAGCTTTAAATTTTTATAACTTGACTTCTTGAATTTTTTATAGCGAGTTTTTATTGCATTTCTATAAGAGCTGTAAACAACGCATAATGGTACTAATTAAAAGACAATAAGAATATTTTTTTATTCAATTTAAAGTCTTAATTTTTAAAACTTACGCTACACTTAAATTAAAATTCTCCAATGACCACATCTGAGCAAAATTTGAATTATTACACACTTCCATACTGATCTTGTTTTTAGCATCATTTATTTCCAAGCACTTATTAATACTACCACGTCGAAAATGTTTTGTTTCAGCGTCATATTCCCAATATTGATTTCCCCCATGTCCGTGACAAGGAAAAATTATAATATTGCTTCCACTGTAATCTAAACAAGCTCTGTCTCTACGGATTTCACCTTTCCTAGTGTAAGTCCAGTACTGGTTACCACCTTGTTTATGACATGGATACAGTCCAACAGGTTTGTGGTAATTATCCTTACCACCAGGTGAATCTAAACAAGTTTCTCCACCATATCCAAGATTCCTAATTTCCCCACTGGATAAAGGAATTTGCAACTCTGGGTAGACAGTATCCAAATACCATTTAAAATTTCTGCACCCCAATTGATTTCGAAGTTCTTTCCTTTTGCTAACATCCCCATATGGAATTTTCTTACCTCCAAATCTGTGATAGTAAAATTGGGCGTAACTGTCCATCCAAACCTCAGCCAACCTAATATTATTTCTACGAAACACATCTACATTTTGTTTCCATTTATAAGGAGATCGTTTCCTGAATATATGCCCCACATGCGAACAAGGTACTATTTCAAGTACTCCTCCACACATCCAAATTTTAAACGATAACTCCAAATTTTCTCCTCCCCAAATATCGAACTCTTCATCATATCTTCCGAGTATTTCGAAAAATTTGGAATGGATACTGAAGAGTCCTCCAGCCATTGTTGGGCTGTGAACTGGTTCAGAAGGATGTTCCCTCTTGCTGCGTTCTGGTATGATGTGCCAGTCGAACACAAGATTCCAATCAAAACCACCAACATGTACGATTGAATTATTAGAATGAAGGTAAGCTATAGTAGCATCATCTATGGTATCAATAACAGGACATACTACTGTTGTTGGACTTCTACTTATTCTGTCTAATAATGGTTCTAACCATCCTGGTGAGCATTCGCAATGTGAGTCTAAAAATGTTAAGACAGTACCTTTCGCTTTAGTTGCTCCAAGTAACCTAGCTCTGATCAGTCCTTCTCTTCTTGATGTTCTAAATATTTTAACTTTGTTTTCTTGTGACCAGTAGTCTTCTAGAAGAGTCTTGGTATGTGGCATATAAGAAAAATCGTTTACTAAAATAATTTCTTCTAAAAGCTCTTTGGGAGACTCTCTTAAGACAGAATGAATGGTTCTTAGAAGTACTGACCATGCTTCGTTGTGGAAGCAGATTATTACAGAAGTTTTAATACTGTTATCTATTTTATAACGATCTGGGATGTCACACCATTCATCTCTGATTTTTGGTAGTTTTCTGTGGACACTTATAAGATCACTCGCGTATTGGTTGAAAGCGTTCTTTTCCCACCCATCTTTGACAAGAATACTTTCTTCCGGTGATAAACTAGAAGGTAAAAAAACTGGTAGACCCATTTCTCCATACAATTTTCTAGATGTTTGCTTTGTAGAAACTGGTTCAGAAATATTATAATGTCTAGGTTGGTTTGAGGAACTTAGTAATATTTGTATAAGTTTAATAGTATATTTTGAACCAATTTTGTTTATATTAGTACCTTTCATCAGTGTTGGTAGTTTTATTTCTGGAAATCCCTTATAAAGAATGATCAAAATTGTTGTAAACCAAATTGTACCAGTTATCAGTACTAAATATGTAACAAGCTCTCTTGATAGTTCTTTTTTATTACATGGTGATTTATTCATTGTATAAAATTTGAGTTTAAAAGAATATTTTTCTTGGTTGAGTTGTACGTCACTTTTAATGTATTGTCATATTTGACATGATAGTTCAACTCAGGAAAGACCAAGGTGGGAAAAATCAAATAAAAATACGGCAAATACAGTTAATTGTCTTATTTCACGAAATAAAACAGCAATATGTGTTTTGTACATGTTGTAGTTTGAAATTTTTTATCTAAGCAAGGGTAATATAATTTGAAACAGTTTTAGGCAGAACCCAGTAAAATGCAAATATTTCGTTTTCTAATAAAAAATGGGTCTATTTAAGATACCACTTGAATTGACCTTTAAGAACCTTTTCAGACGAGGACACTGTACTCGAGATACGTGTATCGGAGATTGTGGCGACATCATAGCACCACATAGTCTTACCTTTAGTTTTGACATTTACGTCAATTTATTTTAAGGTTTCTTAGTCAGTTTTTATTTGAGGTTGGTCAAGTGTCAATGTCAGATGGTACCATTATAATATCACATATATTATGATCTTGGTCGATGCTGCGTACACTACAAAGAGGTTAGAAAGGGTAGAGGTAACATAGGAAGCATTTCTTGCTGCGCGAATTTTGCCAAAACCGAAAAACTGGGTGGAAGGAGTAGGGAGGTGTTCTGGGCCGGACTTAAATATTTGTATTGTAGTACCTAATTTTGGTGGGTAATTAAAAGATGAAAAATTATGAGACGTTTGTTTGACTTTATTTGTTAGCACGATTCATGTATGATGAGGGCAATAACACTTTATCAATATATAACTAGCTAAGGGCCGATTCCACCGTTGTGTCAAACGAAGTTTAAATTATTAAACGAAGAATAAAATGACATTGTTAATATAAAAATGTCATTTTAAACTCAATTTACGCCCGTATGCACCGTACACGTTTAATCCAGATCAAGGGTTTAATCGCGTTTAGTACCATAGCTATAAATGGTATTAAACGCGATTAAACCCTTGATCTGGATTAAACGTGTACGGTGCATATGGGCGTTAGTAATTTAAATTTCGTTTTTGTTAATATAAAAATGTCATTTTAATCTTCGTTTAGTATTTTAAACTTCGTTTAATAAAACGGTGAAATCGACCCTAAGTAAAAGTTTATAACTACTTTTTGCTCGAATTACACACAAGATTTTTTCTACGATCACACCAAAATAAAATAAATAACTAAATTTTATTAGAAATGGGTTACCTTTTCGTTCGTTATAATATTTCAAGTTTATTTGACATAGTCCTACTGTTCTAAGAGAAAAAAATGTTTGGTACTTATATCCTGGTAATTATTTATGATTTAGTTATTTACGGAAAATACCGTCCAATGAATTAAAATATTAGAAAGTCAATTAATAGTTATTTATGTAACCGAAATGCCTTATTTTGTGTAACGAGTAAATATTTGCAAAACGAGCGGAGCGAGTTCCCGCAACATGAACGACTTACACAAAACGGCATTTCGTAACGTGTTTATATACAAGATTTTTTCTAATTTTGACTTGATTATTTATAAAATTGTGTTGAAAAATGATTCACCATCATTCTTGTGTAGGTACTTCCAATCAAATATTTTAGAAAATTGTTGTATTTAATTGCCCTACGACGTTTTTTTTTTTTTCAATAGTAATAATAAAAATAAGGGACATGTGCAGTGTTGCCGATCTAATTTTTGACATTACCCGCGAGAAATTTGAAAAAAAAAACATTTTTACCCATTATCCTTAAAGAAGTACGTCAAAATTTTACCCCCAACATTTCTGGGCAGTTTTCAATAACGGTGTTATTTTAAAAATTAAACGCAATTTACAGCTTCTCTTTTTTTGTTTTCAAACGTAATGTCATATTTTCAAATGTGAAATGTCACTATTCATTGCCTCTTTTTCGATATTTGTTTTTTTCGATTTTTCAACTTAGAAACCAAAAAAGAGGCAGTTTTATTTATTTTCATTTCGTAACTGGTGACATAATCAACTTTTCGTAATCAGTTGCATAATGTTCTACTTTATGCAAATGTCCATATAAATATTCATTAAATTTATTTAAGCCAAAAATTATTGCAAGGATCTCTCTTTCAATTTGGGAATATTTTTGTTCGGACTTTGATAAGGTACGCGAAGCAGAAACTATAGATTTCTCAATATTTTTTTTTTTTTTTTTTTTTTTCAAAACATGACATATCATGGCCCTTATTCCCACATTTGATGCATCTACGAATAATTAAATCGGCTGAAAATGCACAAGAGCATCATTTATTTTTGATTTATTCCAAAGATTCCTTGCAAAAATTATCCCAAATCTATTTCACCCATAAAAAATTAAATAAAAAAAAGTCCTTAAGCAAAATCATATCCTCCTTCCTGTTAGTGACTTAAAAAAATTACTTCCCAAAAAACGGTCCTCAAGCCAGGTCCCTCCATTTTGTGGCGATAGTACTGTTTTTTTTTTATTGTGATTATTTTCTTCGCGGAAACTTTGGCTTTACACTATTATAGAGAATTACTAAATAAATAGTTTTGAGAAAGCTATTGAAACCAGTTGTGAAGTTTGAAACGAATAAATTGGCAATGAAATTGATATTTTTGTATTTGATTATATGTTTCTCTTTTTACTTCCTAAAAAAAGATTCCCTATGAAACAAGAAATAGTAAACAGTTTATAATAATAACCTTTATTTGCTACTTATAACATGTACCAATGACCAAGTCCGATTCTGTTTATTTTCAAATCAACAAATATGGACGTCGACAGAATCTTTAAAAATTAAATATCTCACCGAAATAAATATAAGTTTTTTTTATCTCCGTCACATTTCGCAGGTTTATTATAAATTAAGCTTTTTACAACACATCTTGGCATTTTCAACGTTAATATCCAAAATTTAAGTCACTAAAATACCAAATTAATTCTCGTTGACACATTAAATTTGGATGGACAACGGTCTGACATGTGATGTTCTCAACTGTGATTGGTGGGTGTGAATCATTTTGAAATGGGATTATGCGCAGTGTCTTATGTTCCATCTAAGGTTTGTATAATCTAAGGTACACTAGCACCCTACTTATCCGATGGATGGTAACCATGGAAAGAGGAAACAAAAAAAGATGGATTGATTACTGATTTGAAATAGATAAGGCATACGTTTGACAACATTTTTTATATAACGCTTTTTTATAATTTAAAATAAAAATATTTTATTATTTACTGAGATCCTGATTTCCTGCTACCTATAATTGGTGTCCCCGAACGAGCACACTTTAACTGCAAGGAACCCCTTTGGAGCATCCCGGAATAACATCCAAGACTATTTCCAACACCCGACAAGACATTTTGAAGATCCCAACCAAGAAAGCAATTTCCATTTATGGTTGATACCTTTTTTCGGGTAAGTGGGGTGTTTTTGTTGGTATCTTCTATCGACTTTGATCATTTATAATGCCTACAGACAGTCTGACATTGCCAGTTGAGGAGCCTCAAACCTCAGTTAATAATAATATTTTTATGGAAGACATTTCTAAAGTTAAACTGCCAGTTTTTTGGGCGCATCAACCAGATCTATAGTTCAAGTACATAGAAAGTCAATTTTATATCCATAAAATCCATTCTGAGAAAAGTAAATTTCATTTGGCGATCACACATTTACCAGCCGAAATTTTCGCTAGATTTATGATGTAATCTCTGATCCCCCAGAGAATAATGCTTTTTCTACCTTAAAAGAATCAGTTATAAATAGACTTTCTCTCTCTGAAGAACAAAGGTTAGACAAATTACTATCCAGAGCTGAAATGGGCGATAAAAAACCTTCAGATTTTTATAGAGAATTAATTAGATTTTCAGGTGATTCTATAATTCATGAAAATGTATTATTAAAAATATGGAGAAGAAGACTGGAAAATCTTCTACTAAAGAGTTATTAGATATTGCCGATAAAATTTGGGAATCGTCCCCTTCCTCTAATTTTTCTAATTATACTGGTAACAAAGTTTTTTCTATTAATAAAAATACCGAAATTCTAAATCTTTCCAAATCAATAAATGATTTAAATCAAAATTTTAAATTAATGATGGGTGATTTAATTAATAAACAAAATGAATTAGAAAAAAAGATTATGATATTGGAAAATAAGGGATCCTCTCACACATCACGTGATGATTCCAATCAAGAATGCTACTCTAGATCTTCTTCAAAATCTAGAAGCAGAAATAGATATTTTCGTAAATTCAATAAGGAAAATGAATCGAATGATCCAATATGTTTTTATCACAGTAAATATAAGAAGAACGCATATAAATGTGCAGGACCTTCTTGCTTAATGTACGAAACTTTCAACAATTCTATTCCAAAAAACGAGTAAAATCAACATTAGGTAGTATAGGTGGAAAATCTTCTAAAAGATTATTTCTTTTTGATGAATTAAATAAATTAGAATTCTTGGTAGACTCAGGAGCTGATATTAGCGTGGTTCCAAACAAAATTTTCAAAGGATTATTAGATAAAGAGTTTATTCTCACTTCAGCTTCTGGCAATACAATATCTACTTATGGAAAAAAATTTCTTAATATCGATTTCTTTTCACCATTGCAAATGTAACTAAACCAATTTTGAGATACAGATTCGTATTCAAAAACTTGGGCTGCTGTATCGAATTCAATCAGTCCTAAAATTGTCACAGTGACGTGCATAGGTTCGAATTATGGATCTAAAAAAGTGTACACATAAAGTGCACATCATGTGGGATTTTTTTTTAAATGCTGCAGATGAATTTGGACTTTGCTTCAAAAATGATAAGACGATTTTAAATCAGTTACTGGAAAAGTGTCAAGCGTGGTCAAGATTCTTACGTCATTATAATGACGTTCTATTGATCTGATTTAAAAAGGTTTGGTTTATATTGACACTAACTTGACAATGCTCATGACATTTTCAGATATTGCGAATTTTTGTTTGTGTATTATGTATTGCAATTAGTATTTGGTTTTGAATTTTTCAGGTTAAAAAATAAATATTTGTTTTGTATACTGATCATGGATGAAGAGACAAT